ATCGGTGTTGCTCTGTGTTACCTACACTAATTATATAAAGAGAAGCTCCTTCTTTTTATAAGAGGTGATCTCGCGAACGCCTCTACCGATAAACACTTACTATATCAATTATTTTTTTGCCTCCTTCCCCTTCCCTCAATCCACTTTTTTTTGCTTTTTAGATTATTCTCACTTTTTGTGTATTCTCTAATTTCCGATATTCAAATTCAGTTGAGTTTGACACTTTTCACGATTTTGCCAGCAAAAATTCTTCTGACTAAACCTGACTACTACGGACTGAAGAGAGTCACTCTCACTGAGTGTTGCTCTCTCATTTTTGCTGTCATTTTCGAGTTAAGGAACGCTTTTTGGACTAAATCTGACTACTTCGGACTTTTTCTGACTATTTCTGGGAGATAAGGAACGCAACTATTTTCATTGGAATATATCAACGAAAGACGAATTCATACAAGGTGATAGCAGGAGCACAAAAACTACTCTAGAACAGGGGTTCCCAAACTTTTTTCACCGCGGCACCCTTATTGTGCTAAACAAATTTCGCGGCACCCCTACTCCTGAAATGTCTACGAAAACACAATGCAAACTTTATGCTCATTTAGCTTTAATGTGAGGACTGAAATTGTTATGATGATTTCATTATTTCCTTTAAGTTTATTGGGAGCTTTGACAATTTTACCCTGAAATCATTTGACGCTGAAAGCGTGCTGGTGCGTTTATTTTTAACCAACCTCGCAAAAAGGAGAAGGTTATCAATTCGCCTAAATATTTTTTATTATTATTATTTTTTAATGTATGGTGTAGCATAACTTTGGACCACGTTAACCGATTGCTATAATTCTTTTTTTTTTTTTAAGGAAAGGTGTTATCTCACAGTTGGTCCCATTATAATTTGGTTGACATCCTATCATTGGATCATGAAGAGATTAACGATAATCTTAAATTTTTATATGGGAATTGAAGTCGGTTTTGTTTTTTGCTTAAACATTACTTGTTTATGTAATAGAGCAAAAGCCAGCGACGGCCATACCTTCGTTATTTCATAAAGGCTGACAGTTTCTCTATGTATGCCCCAACACAGGTAATAACAAACCCATAGAGCTGTCAAACTATCGACGATACTATCGATAGAATCGATAGTCTGGCCACAGGAAATAACTATTGATAGTTCTGGTATTATCGCCACTATCGTTTCATTAATAGCGTATTCTCTTTCCTGGCACTTTTGACATTTGCACGTATTGGTTCAAAGAGAACAAAACTTGGCAGCATTATTTCATGAACGTACGAATAATAGGCTCGTCAGAATGGGTATTTGTACGTCAATAACGGAAAAGTATGCGAAGGGAGTGGCGTACGTAACGTAGAGATACGCCACAATGAGGGTGTTGCGTCTGCAAACAAAAATCAACTGTTCCTTATGGGGGTTTACACAAGCTAATTTTGCAGTAACAATAGCAAAATATTCACACTTTTTTTTACTAATATATTCACACTTCTCTTGATGTCTTCGTCACTATCTTTGACTTTTCGGAGACAGTTTATTGTCTGGACGTCTACTCTACTGAAAAAATGTGACAATTAATACATATTCTCAATTGTCTTGCCTTGTGTAAACGCAGGGTTATACAACTGTCAGCAGTGACGGACTTACGTGCATCAAAAGTTGAGTGTTGGCCAACGTTCGTTGGGTCCGTCGACGCAAGGGTTACCAATCTGACGCTCTCTATGCAAACACACATAGTCTACTCAACTGTCAGTTTCATCCTTGAGCGGAACGTACGCAAAGTACCCATTCTGACGCGGCCATAAAGATCATCCAGGACGGAGTGCGAAAAAAAAGTATTTTTTTGCAGTGCCGTAATTTTTTCGCCGCCATGTGAATGAAACGGAATGAGACCATGTGTGTAAATGAAACAACCGACTAAAAAATTACGTTATCAACTATTATTTTTTATCTCAAATGCAATTACAAATACATGGTTGACGTGCTGGGCGGAAATACCAGAAATTACATTGCCGTCTTAAGAGCGTGTCAGACGTGGCAACGCAATATATTTCAAAAGACTGTCAAATTAAGAAATTTCAGAAAGCAGTTGCATAAGCAGTGGCACCTTGCATGTAAGTGTCTATATGTCGAAAGAAATTTTTTTATTTCCGAAAGGCGAATTGCAGGGAAAATTTCTGAAATCGCTTTTAGACTTTTTACACGGCGAATGAATTCTAGCAATATTTCTCGATACTAAAATGCAACCGTGAGCCGTTAAAACCAACAAATTCATAAAAGCAATATAACGAAAAATAAATGAATTTAGAAAAACATATGAAATGGGTCGATACTATCAATAGACTTGACTATCGATATTTTGACAGCTCTACAAACCCAGACTATGAAATTTGGATAGGGGTGGCTTTGGCAGGTAGCAGGTAGTAAAGGTGTATAAAATAGCACCTCATATTCGTTATAGTATAAAGGTTAGTTTTTATATATTTTATTCGTAATAATATTAGAAACTACGTCTACGTCTTGAAAAGTTTTTTGAGATAGGGCGTTTTCGAACTGGCTGCCCAGAAAGGTTGATCTTCCACTCAGCAGTCGATATAAACCAGAAGATAATCATTTCAAGTGGTTTGAAGGGGATCAGCTACCAAGTTATGACAGTGATTCTCTAACAAGTATATCAGGTATGAAATTATTATGCAAAATTATTGTATGTACATAAATTTGTGGCAAATCAAAATTGTATTAACTTGGTTAAATTATTTCAGAAATTGACGTCGCAGGCAAAGATCAATCGGACTGGAGTATCTATCAGTGGTGACGATAATGGAGATATGGACGACGATGAAAATTATGAATTTAATTAAATAGTTAATACAAAAATACATACATACATATTTGAAATCTTACTTGTCTTAGTATTAAAAAAACGTACTAAATTTAAAAAAATACGCATTTGAAAGAGCACCAACCCAACTCGTTTTAAATTTGAGTGTGCACGTTATAAAATATGTCGTTGTGAAGTGCACAGATGCTTTTTCGTTATACGAAATTATAATTAAGAAGAAAAAAAATATTAATTTTATCTTCCGTCTGATGGTAATTGAACCCGGACCCTCTTGGCAGCAACCAATTGTATCAAGCGTCTTTGCACACTCAGCTACAGCCATACACGTAAATGTGTTTTCAAATCTTGAGTTTGAATCAACATCACAGCGCGCGATTAGTGCATTTGTACAGATAAACGTATACCATGTATGTGTGTATGTTTTGTCACTGCTGTGCATGCTTTGTATACATATATATACTTTCTTAATTACATATGAAAAAGCATCTGAGATGTGCAAACCGACAGCCGTGCAGTGAAAAATTCTTCATTTTAATACGGGCGTATTTGAATTGAATATTTCTATTATACGTAGTGTATGTATAATGACAATATTCACTTTTCACTTGATTTAAAAACGTACATTTTTAAACGGTAATCAAATAAAAAATTTTCATTTTAACAACGCGTTTTTTTTTCTCAGTGTAGTTTTGTTTAGTTTTTGTTTCGCTAAAAAAAAATAATTTTTTGGTTGGATTGCTCATTACACTTTAGGAGCGCTAAAATGACAGAAAAAAGCGCAGAGACACGTAAACTGAATTTTGGGCCATCGATTACGGATCTGTATACCGCTTTTCTAGATCAGGTAATTTTCCCAAGATATTTTCATTTGAGGTTTGCATTGCGAATGAAAAAAACTTTAACATAGAAATGTTGCCAACAGCAGTGTTTTCTGCATACGCTTGCATCCAGAACTCTCTTGGCTCCCTTCGTATTATTTAATATTCAAAGTGCTGTTTTCACTGATGTCCAGAAGTTTTCAAAAGCTTACTTTGTCATCTCAGTAGGTTTACTTTTCGGGTCACATGAAAAGGGGTTTGTTATCCAGCTGTAGACATCCTCAGAGTCAATGTTGGGAAAATATTCGACAATGTTTTTTTCTAAACCTTCCAAGTTAACGCTGATAATGCGCGTTAACGCTAAGAAAATAACTTTTACAGCCAATTTCACGAAAGCAATTTAATTTAAATTGCTGGTGAAACCGGCTGTTATCAATTTTCGTAGCGTTAACTTCGAAGCTACATACGTTTTTCTAGTTCACTTTGTTTATTTATGACGGTTTCATGCAAATCGCTAGACATTCTAAAATATACATTTCACCTATAAAAAGATCTCGACGCGCTAGAAAAAACCAAAGATGTATTTTAATTTCACAGGCCTCTGTTATCTTCGCAGCGTCATCCAATACGGGTTTTAAATCTAGTGGCGGCATCTTCCTAGTCGCCAGGGAATACCGACACACATTTTTCTGTACAAATTTGTCGATAGCTTTAAAAATTTCGTTGATAGTGGTGTAAGTCTTAAGTACTTCGCTCATCAAAAGTTCTTCTTCGATTTGCATTGCGAATGGGTACCTTACTAATACGAGAAGAACATTAAGTCCCACTACGTCGGTACTTTCGTCAAGTTGAAAACTAAAAAATTCACAAGGTTTCAAACTTTTTATAAGTTCGTTCTCGACTGCCTCTAAAATCGCTCTTTCGCAGTGTGAATAAGAAGTTCCAAAGAATAAGTAACATATATACGTGCGCAAAGCTGCTGCGCTTGTTACGAGAACAGCCCAGCCAGCAAAAGATCCGAAAATTAATCTGAAAACCGGAAGAAAAGTGGGTGAAATGCGGATTAGGTCTACAAAAGTACCGAAAATGGTTGTGAAAAGGGTATGATTTCTGCTATTATTCTAAAAAAAATTTTTATTGAATTTTTCGTTGACAAAACGTACTGGGGAACTACGCTTAAGAGCGAAATACATCACACAAGCGGCTTGACAAACCAAGCGAAATATCCCTTTGCTGCAAGCCATTTGTGTTGTGTATGGGGTTTCACGAGCCGCTGAAGGTAATTTTAATAAAAATCAAAATTTTTTGATTTTCTGGTCGCCATGTTGAAGTTTGATCAAACCGTATATGGAAAGTTTAAAGAATTTGCCCCCACCACTAGTATAGGCTGACTTCCAAAACGTCTATTGCTTTGCATACGTACAAAGTATAGGGTTCCATAACGTCGAACTACAAAATATTGGCAATGTATACTGTTCCAAAACGCAGCCGAAAAGTTATCGAAACGCATCGCTAGAGCAATCAGCGCATCAGAAACAAAGTTGATTCTTCGTTTGTTATTGGTTACAATTTGTGTTTTAAAAATGGAAGATTGAGAAAAATTGTTCATTGCTATATTGAATATTAAAAATGTGCAATGTATATGGTTGCAATGTGTCGCAACTCTGCATATACAAACAGTTTGAATACCGCAGTATAACAGTATCCAAATATTGTATTGATACGTTTTGGAAGTCAGCCATACTCAAGCCACTAGCGGCACCCCAGGCATATGCTCGCCCCAGGGTGCGGCGGCCTGCTCTAGAAAGTTATAGCACAATGACAAACATGAACAAATGTACAACAAACACATATTTTTTTACAATCAGTATAATTCGAATTAATATCAACAAGCAGCGTTGTAATCTCTAATTAGATTTGTTTTCGTTTGTACTAAATTTGTGCATTGCAGCTGGTAAAGTAACGAAAATTTGGATACTCGTATGTATTCGTGACTAATCCAATCAACACCCGTATCTTTCGTATCGTTACTTTACTCGTTACTTTTGATACAAGCACTTGTACCTCACAAGAATCTTGCAGCGTAAGGAAATGTTCGTACATATTAGGAACGTTAATCCCGGGATCCCGGGGTGGCTTTCTGTAATTCTATATCGAGCAAAAACGTGTATCGAAGTATCGTTTTTGCTTTCCCTAACGATAAATATCGTCGTGCTGTATCGACCATTCGATAGAAACTGTTCGACACCACTTTTGCTCTCCTTTTGCCTTTCGCAGCTGTCAACCTCAACCAAAATGTAAGTTAAAATTTTTAATTTTTCTGTGATTTTAAACGTTTTTTATTTATTTAGGAGTCAAAAAACGAACGCTGCTCAACTTAAGCTTATGATAGAATTTATGGAGCAGCACGACGCTTTAGCCAAAAATAGTTTGCAATGTGTTAGCAATGGGCGCGAGAAGAAAAAGAAGTTATGGAGCAAATTAACGGAAATGTTAAATAGCAACGGGCCTCCGATGAAATCAACGAAGGGATGGCAGAAAGTAAATAGAAATACTTAGCAAATGATTTTAGTTGTAACATTAAATTCATGCAATATTTCTAGGTATGGACTGACTACAAATATAATGCAAAGCGCAAGTTAAGCGCCCGAATGAATAGTTTAAAAAAAACGGGTGGTGGGCCATATGATGCCGTTAAATTAAGTAATTTGGAGGAACGTGTAATTGCTGCAGCAAATATAAACGCACAAGTAATGGGCATTCCGGGCGTGGCGTCATATGGTACCAAAACAGACGAGCCTTGCTCTTCTACTGCTGCCCCGGAACCGGACGAAGCTTTCGTTAGTGACTCTTTAAGAGAAATGTTAAGCGAATCCTCGAGTAATAATGAAAATGAAGGGGCAGGTGAGACTAATACACCAAGAGGAAAAAGAAGCGCCGACACGGCAAGCGACAGAGAGGCACCACCATCACCTAAAGCACCACAAACGTCTAAACTAAAACAAACGCCTATAGTACCACAAACGCCTAAAAAGAGATGTGTAGATCCAAAGATAAGAATCATAGAACAGAAATAGAAAACCAAGACAAATTTCAAACTGAAATATTAAAGCTTTTAAAGGAGAAAAATGAAATTGAAGAAAAGAAGCTGCATTTAATGGAAAAGCAAGTTGCATCTGAAATTCAGTACAAAAAAATGAAATTGCAAGTATTACAATTAAATTTAGAGAAAGTTACGTGTGAAATCGAAGCGCTAAAACGAGAAACAAATGATAACTTATAACTTATGTAAAGTACAATGAAATGCAATGCTTTTAAAAGAGAACAATAAGATTGAGTTGAAAAATAAAATTTCAAGCACTACAATTAAATTTAGAGATAGTTAAGTAAAAATCGCTTTGCTGAAACGCGAAACAAGTGATAAATGAATTTATAACTTATGTGAAGTACAATGTTTATGTTTTATGTTACTTATTTATTAACAATCAATACAAATATAATTTTTACATTGCGGTTTGGGAAAAATGTTCTTTTATTCGATTTCTTATTCTTTCAGCTTCTCGGTTAACTATTTCTGGTGGAGTGGTATCTACCCCTCTTTCTTGTCGTGAAGTTGCAGCTTCGTTATTGCTTTCAAACTGAACATTGCGGCTGATGCACACATTATGCAGAGCTGCACACACGTTTGCAATTTTGGCAACCAATGTTGGGTTATACCTTGGCTTTCTGTCGTCAGATAATATCCTCCAGCGCCCTGAAGTAGACGATGTGAATAAAACTAATATAAAAAGAACTGAATTTTGCAATATGCTAACCTTTATAAACCCCAATGCTTCTTTCAACAACGCTCCTTGCTTTGCTATGTATATCATTGTAGATACATTTACTTGCGTCAGTTTCATTTTCTCGTAATCGGTATGGGGTCATTAGCCAAGGTTCAAGAGGGTATCCAGAATCGCCTTAAGATATATTTTCGAGTTAATATATGTTTTTTCTATTGAATATATTTTAAATGTTCACCGACTTTACCTAATAGCCAAGAATTTGTATCTCCGCTGTTGTATCGTCGCTCCATTACCATTCTCTCATTGGAGGCCTTCCACACAAACGAGTCGTGTGCAGCCCCCCTAATTTTGGGCATATAGCTCTTATAATTAATTTATGGTTGCAGATCTACATTAAAGATTGTCCAATACGATAATTCATAAACAATTCCAAGGAAATTTCATACATAAAGTATATATATACTTACTATCATTGCATTAATGCTATGTTTGCCTTTTCTATTAAAATATATGTGTTCGTTTTCCACAGGTTTTAGCAACTGCAAATGCGTACCATCGACGGCACCGACAACTGCAGTGGATTAAAATTAGAAAGATTAGAAAGCTAGTTATTGATTCGACGAATTTACCCCCAGGAAAATTGTATTTTTGATTGAACCACTCCTTACACGGCTGGAAGTCTTTTTCATAAACTATGCATTGGCTACATAAATGGTCTTCCATGGATGACAACGTGTCGCGTTTGCCACTGGTACCCGCCACCTGCTAAAATTTCCAGTGTTGCTGCTAGTCTCATGATTGGAGGAATATATGTAGTTCTCATGCATTTCCTTAATTTTATTTCGTTGAGAACGTACATAAATACTTCTTTGGTCAGCCGATATTTTGTTTGGAAGCTTAGAAATGGAAATAAATTGAAAAGAAATTGAATGCTCCTTAGTTTTTACAATATTAATTAAACTTACCACTTTTCAGGCAATTCCATGGGATTAGATGCATCTCGGATCCTTCTTCTATTAATTAAAGAGTTTTCCTCTCCAAAACCGTCCAAAATCAAAAAATAACGCCAATTGTACATTGTTTTCATTCGAATTACCATTTATATTTATTTATTTCACACAGGTTTTGACAGCTACAAAACACTCGAAACGCTTCCTACAATATGAAAACGAGAGTGGTCATATCGAAATACGGAAACCAAAATGGTCTCGCCAAGCGTTCGATATCGAATTGAAGTATCGAGCCGACGAGTGTCGACTATCGAATTACGGAAACCCGCCCCCGGACTTTTTAAGGTCTCGAAAATCACGGTATTCTTGGCAAGTAACCCCGGGATTTTCGGGATTTGTAATTTTCGCTGATGGCAATAATAGAAACTCCTTTTCTTGACCAGTATTAGCTATATTTCTTTTTTATTTAATAATTAATATTCTTTTATAAGTGTCTAGCTCATTGTACATACATATAACACTGCACGATAGTAAATTTTAAACGCAAAAATCAATATATTCGCAAAGCCATGAGCCAAATATAATAAACTTGCGTTTTTAGTTTTTCACTCTGACGTCAGTAATTCAAAAATTATTTAAATTAAATGTGCNAGCTATATTTCTTTTTTATTTAATAATTAATATTCTTTTATAAGTGTCTAGCTCATTGTACATACATATAACACTGCACGATAGTAAATTTTAAACGCAAAAATCAATATATTCGCAAAGCCATGAGCCAAATATAATAAACTTGCGTTTTTAGTTTTTCACTCTGACGTCAGTAATTCAAAAATTATTTAAATTAAATGTGCTTAGAGAAGAAGTATGGGTATGAAATTAATGAGGAAATCCTGTAGAATTTAAACAGATTCAAGTTTCTGGTGCAGAAAGGCTGGTCAATATTGAAAATGTCATTTTAAAATTTTATCCTTGAAATTTCGCAATATTTGTTTTTGAAAAAATTATATGTTAAGGGCTTATATAAACTCGATAACATCCTCGAATTTCGTTCTTCTAACTTTGTCAGCTTAAAAATTACGTATTTGTTCCTGTGAATCCAAAAATTTTTAATTTTTTAAATTCTAAAGAAATTTCCTATTGCATTTGTTATCCATATTTTTATTCTACATTGCATTGAATTTTTTTAACAACTTTTGGAATTAATCATATCTTTGAAATTACAAAGTCCTTCAAAATAAATCCTGCGGTCAGAGAGAAAAAATAAAAACGCCACTTTAAACAAAAAAGTAGGTCTCAAACCCATTTATTTATTATATATTTCATGGTGAGAGCTTCTCAAACAATATAGAAGAAATTTTTTCCATTCAAGTTGTTGAAAAGTAATGAATATCTAAATCTCGGGACTAATCCCGAATCACGGCATTGTGAAAACGCCATCCCGAAATTCCCGGGATCGTAAAAAGCCGAAAAATTAACATCTCTAGTACATATGCATACATGTACATATATACATATCGTCGGCTTAGAGTGTTAACCTGCTAAATCGGTTTTTTGGCAAAATTGACCTTTTGATGCAGTTCGAAGGAGAAGGCGATTCCGCAGTTGGCAAGCAAAAAAATACGTCAAAATAAAAATATAATTGTCAAAAATTTGTTGATGAGTAAAGCTGCTAAGTACAATCAGTTCAAATTCACCTGCTAAATCCGTTTTTTGGCAAAATTGACCTTTTGATGCAGTTCGAAGGAGAAGGCGATTCCGCAGTTGGCAAGCAAAAAAATACGTCAAAATAAAAATATAATTGTCAAAAATTTGTTGATGAGTAAAGCTGCTAAGTACAATCAGTTCAAATTCACCTGCTAAATCCGTTTTTTGGCAAAATTGACCTTTTGATGCAGTTCGAAGGAGAAGGCGATTCCGCAGTTGGCAAGCAAAAAAATACGTCAAAATAAAAATATAATTGTCAAAAATTTGTTGATGAGTAAAGCTGCTAAGTACAATCAGTTCAAATTCAACTGCTAAATCCAACATATTGTGCTTCTGTCGCTCGATTAGTTCTAGCTGAGAGTATTACTTTATGCGTTTAAGCCAAGGTAATAGCCAGCGAATAAGCTTAAATTTTACAGATGAATGATGTTACAGCTGAAGTGAGTGATCAGTTAGTAGATGTGGATGTTATAAGTATAATCAATCAACGATATGGTGATTCAGAAGTGGCATCCGACGAGACCGAAAACCCTACATTGTTAATTCCACCAATGAAATAAATTCTAGTTCTGAATCTGATTGTTACTCGGAGAAAAGTAAGAAACGAAAGAAGAGAGTACTAATGCAAAGGTCTAATTTGTTCGCAGCAAAAAATGGAAAATTGAGAGAACACGGAAAGAAATATTATGGGAGAAAAAAGGAAGAAACATGGAATTATGAAAGAACCAAGACTGGTAAAGGAAAGGTGCAAGTGTCAGCAAAAAGAACATGGTACAATAAATTGTGCAAGCATCACGGAAGAAGATAGGGAATACTTATTCAAGGGATTTTGGAGCATGAGCTGGGAAGAAAAAAAAGTATATATTGACGGACTTGTGACATCGCGCCCTACTAAAAGGCAACGATTCAGAAATAAAAAGCAAAAATCGAGAAGAAATCGGACAGTTCTATACCATTTAAAAAAACAAGACGAACGAGTTAAAGTATGCAGGACTATGTTTCTCAACACAATCGGTATAGGAAGATGGACTGTGCTTAGCTGGAAAGGTAAGAAAACACTTGACGCAACCATAAGTAATGCTCCAACGACCTTTAGGCGTTCTGCTCTTGCAAACGTATCGTCTAATCCTTTTGCTAAAGAGCGCAAAGAGATGTACACGTTTTTAGATTCTTTGCCTACTATGGAATCACATTACTGTCGCGCCACATTCCAAACGAAATATTTGTTACCTGAGTGGTCTACAAAGCAATCTCTTTACGACTTTCACAAAAATGATTGGTATAACAGTAGGAATGTACGAGCTTTATCAATTGCCACCTTTTATGAAGCTTTTGATGTTAAAACCCTGGGCTTATATTTGTCGGATAAAGACCAGTGTGAAAAGTGAGCGTTGTACATTGTTGGAAATTTATCTTCTGAAGAATATTCAACCCACCAGCAGAAAAAAGAAGAAGCCAGAGCAGAAAAACTCAAGGACAAAAGCGAAGAAAATATTGTACTTGCAGTTGATTTACAAGCCCTTCTTATGGCACCAAAGTTAAAAGTTAGCAGTTTATATTACAGAACTAAATTTCAGGTGCACAATTTGACATTTTATAATATAAAAGACAAAGCCGGGTATTGTTACTTGTGGAACGAAACAGAAGGAGGATTAAATGCAGAAGAGTTTTCCAGCCTGTGGGTAGATTTGATAGAAAAAAATGTAGTACCAAATAATAGTTCCGGGGAGCCAATTACAGTAGTTTTTATAGCGACGGATGGACATATCAAAACTGAAACTGTGTTATGGCTAATGCTTTGTTATCCACAGCTATAAATAACAATATCATTATTGCTTGAAGTAGGCCATACCCAAATGGAAGCTGATAGTATCCATTCCACTATCGAACGAGCACTGAAGAAAAGAGATATCCATGTTCCTGCAGAATACGTTGAAGTATGTAGATCAGCTAGAAAAAATCCAAAACAATATGACGTAACTTATCTTACTTACACGTTCTTTAAAAGCTTTAACACAGTTCGATTCTTTAATAGCATTCGTCCCGGTCGCGGCAAAGGTGCTGCTACATTTCAAACTAAGATTCTCCAACGAATGGCAAGTAATACCGCAAAGAAAATCCCCTAGTAACTGTTTCCTTGCCGTTTTCTCACCTTCCGAATTTATACGCGAGTAAGCGTACGATTTCTCGCAGAAAGTATGAAGATCTCCAGTATTTCAAACGATTACTTCCTGAAGATTACCACACCTACTATGACAATTTACCTCATGATTGAATAATATGTATCATACTTTCTGGCATTATTGAGTTCCTACTTAAATTATCTTATACATTGACTTTGTACTATTAATTTGAGAGAGGAATACTTCACGTNGATAACGGCGGAAAAGCAGTAATATGGGTACAGTACCGGTCAGGAGTAAAGCAGATTAGTTTAAGAAATATTATCATACATATATTATTCCCTTTTTTCATATACATATATAAACACATTAGTATGCACCCTAGTGCACTTTGGAAAAAATTAATATTAAAAGAAAAATATTGAAGTGAAGTAAGAAAAACAAATTAAATTTAAAACAAAAACGCGAAGGAGTGAACTTTTCTAAATAGTTGTGATCTACAAATTAAACAAAAAAATTGCTATAATAGTACAAATAGTACAAACGAGCNAATACTTCACGTATAGTTATTAATATATGTATTATAAACTGCCTATTTTTGTTGCAATAAACGGAAGAATAAATCTGTTGTATTATTTTATATATATGATTGTTTGTATCTATGGAGTCTTATTTTAATTAACATTTAAATTGAGCTCGTAATCACAAAAAATAAAATAGAAACAATTTTATTAAAAAAAAGCCTGCTAAATCCACTTCAATTTTGAAAATACAAAAACTAAAACTTGCTAAGTTCGAAATTCGCCAATAAAACCAAAAAAACGTCATTTTTTTGATTCGTTTTAGATTAGGGCCATAGAACGTCGCGTGATTAACAAACTATATGTAGAATTTTCCCCTTAGACTAAGAGTTAAAGATATATTGTAGTGGCACCGCCAGCAATACGGCAGCCCTATTCAGCGCCCTGGTAGCCCTGAGTAATTTACGTTCCACATACGCTTGATAAAGAACCAAAATGTACAAAGGGAGTCATTCACGAACCGCCATTAAAACACATCGGACGAGTTAAATAAAAAAGAGCATTTTTAAAGTAAAGTTTTGAATTTTAATTACAAGCGCAAGTAGTCAACGCGGGTGTAACATTTTAATACTTAAAATTTTAATAATATAAAATAGTCCCGAGTCTTTGGGCTAAAACTAGACGCGAGGCCTATTAGAAATTTGGTTTTCTAGCGCCGACGCGCAAAGCACCCAGCGGAGCACCCGTGCGGAACTAACAAGAAGGTAAGGAGTCGAAGCAGTATATTCCAGAGGGGACACGATATGGCGACCGTGGCCTGGAGCGGTGCAGCGGAACGCGTGAAGAAAAAAAAAAGAAATTAAAAATTAAAAAAAAAGAATATTTTAAATTACAAAAGCAAATCAAAAATGAATTGCAAATCGGAATTTTCATAAAATAAAAATTTATTAAAAAATTTGGTGCGTGGCAGTGGTATGCAAAATTTGGTGCGTGGCAGTGGTAGTTGAAATGAGGTGCGTGGTAGTGGTGATAGCAGTGGTACAGCCTCGACATCGGCAAAACGGTCTTTCCAGCGGTACGTATGTACAAAACGAATATGGCAGCGGTACATTTACATACATATATGTACGTATATAACACGCCATCGGCAAGTAGCAGCAGTGAGTAACGGTATGAATGTACATACAAAATCACGCCACCCGCAACTGTACTATATGCATACATATACGCATGAGTATCCCGTTATAATATTTTTGAGACCCACGCCACCGTAACAGCAAACATAGCGGCGACAAACGAAGCCACACCACCACCAGCCACACGTATATGTATAACGGCTNTTTGTGCCTCAATCATTAGGGAAAATTACAATGGCGATCCGCTAGCACTTGAATCATTTATTAAATTAATTGAAGATTTTGCAGACGAAAATTTAAATACAACTTTTATATCATTTTTGAAATCGAAGCTCGAAGGCAAGGCACGTGAAGCAATTCCAACCGTAGTTAATTCTGTTAGACAAATCAAAGATGCGTTGAGAAATAGCATAAAGCCAGACAACTCGAAAGTTGTAGCTGGGAAAATTGCATCTTTACATGTCATAAACAAAAATTATACGGATTTTGCTGAGCGTGTCGAGGAGCTTTCGGATGCATTAGAGCATTCTCTGATCATTGAAGGTATGACACAGTCTAAGGCCCATGAAATGGCAGTCGAACAAACAGTTAACGTTTGTAGACTTAATACTCGATCAGATTTGGTCAAATCAATTTTATCGTCAACTACCTTCAGTGATTCAAAGGACGTAGTGGCCAAAATTATAGTCGAACAAAATAATCAAGTGAAAGAGCGTCAAGTGTTAGAGTTTCGATCCCGAGTAAATAGGCCAAATATTTTTAGAGGTAGCTTCAGAGGTCAAAACTTCAATCGGTACAACAATAACAATCTCAGACAAAATAACTCTAATTTCAATAGGTACAATAATAACGGTAATAACAGTAGGTACAACAATTACGGTTCAAGGTATAACGGTAAAAATTTCAACAATAATATTAATCGGTCATCAGGCAACAATAATCGAAATAATAACAGCAACAATAATAGCAGTAGACGTCCAAATTCACGCAATAATGCTAATGTGCGCGCTTTAAATGCCCACGCCCCTCAGGAGCGAACACTGAGGGCGGAAGAATTGGACAATTAGATGAATCTTTTTCTACAAAGGGCATTTATTGCTTAAATTT